GCCAGATAGAATGCCAGCAGATTTGCCAGATAATATGCCAGAAGATATGCTAGATATAATGCCAGATGGAATGCCAGAAGATTTGCCAGATAATATGCCAGAAGATATGCCAGATAGAATGCCAGATGGAATGCCAGAAGATATGCCAGAACATATGCCAGAAGATATGCCAGAAGATATGCCAGAACATCTGCCAGAAGATACGCCAGAACATCTGCCAGAAGATATGCCAGGTAGAATGCCAGAAGATATGCCAGATAGAATGCCAGATCGAATGCCAGAAAATATGTCAGATAGAATGCCAGAAATTTGCCAGTAACAAAATGTATAAATGTCATGGTGGGGATCACACGAAGTAAAGTAATTTTTGTGGCAATCCCTCCTCATTTATACAAACAGGTCCCGTCTCCCCTGCCATGGGTACACGCACAGGTCCTTGAGAACGATGTCAGGCTAACACAAAGCAATACAAATCAAAGTGGATCGATGTTTGCTCATCCCATGGAGGTTTTATCCCAACCAAGCCCCTGGCGTCAGCTTCGGCCGCCAGCTTCTCCCAATCAGCTTGAGGCACTGTTAGCTGCCAGCCCGCAGGGATTGGCTCCTGGGCCGGTGGCAACTCGTCATGTGTTGGTTTTCATTCGCTCCAAAGAAAAAGTGGGACCCTACTTGTTGGAATTTTGGTTTTGGTTTGTTTCTTTTTCATCTTTTAAAGGCTGCTCATCATGTTTCTACATTTGTGGTTCTGCAGTTGTTCATCTTTCTTGCCAAATTCATATGTTCTCTTTTCAAATCAAAGATCTCACCACGCTTCTTCAATCTCTGCGTTTATTGATGTGTTCGTCAGTTACACATTTGCGCCATGATTTTTTTACACAATGGAAACTCGAGCATTTGAGGTTCCTTTTTTAGGATGCTGGATGATGGGAAAATCTAGTGGACACCCCTAAAATTGGTGGACGCGAGCCATGGTTTCCTTTCGATATTCCTTTGAAATCAACTCATCATTTCCCCTGAGGCCAAGGCAGTGAAGTCTTCGATGCCAGGAATGCCCTCCTGGCTGCGAAGGAACTCCACCACCTCCTGGGTACCCCCCACATTACAAGGGGTACCCCATGTTTCACCTGACTGTCAAAGATCTGGCTATCCAGCCATGACTCAACATGACAACCCTGCAAAATGGATCAACATTTTACAAACGTTACTCGCCAGTCAAATTTTACTGGCGATGGATAGGTCTGAGTCTGATGAATGGGTAAAACATCTATGAAGTGCGCGCGGGTGGAGGATATAATGGGGCAATGTTACACACCAACAGCAAAGATACCGCATCTCCGGGTGGGGGTTGTGCCACCCCCCGACACATTCCTTTTTGTCATTGTGGAGGACCGTCCAAAAGCTACCAAATGCATCAAAAACCTAAGAGCCTGGACAAGGAAACATAACATGTTTATCATCAAACGATCGATTTGTCGAGACCAAACCCTGACCCACAATGTCAACTATTGAAAACTATTGTTTGAAAAATGCTGGTTGCTTGATCCGATCCAGGTACGGCAGAAAATGATTATAATATATATATATATATAAAGCATGGTGGTTCCACCTGTGGAGCGATCAAGCTCTTTTCTGTTTTCCAGATCTCTTTGGGGATCCTTAAAACAAAAATTCCCTGTAAGACACAGAAGTTTGTTCATCAACCATGTTCGATCCAAGCGTCAAAATGCTTCAAAACACTGGAGGCGCGCCTCAAAATACTGTTTTGGCTGTAGCGAAACGCCGATTTTGGGAAAACTGGTTTTCGAATACGTGTGCCTGAAACACATCTGAAGCATTTTATTGCACTTGCTGACTTGGGTCGAACCAAAGAAAACATAAACTGAGCAACAGTTTCCAAAACAGGAAAGGATGCCAAAACTGGTTCAAAACATCTTTCCCTAAAAACCTTTGTCTGTCTGGTCTGTCTGTCTGGTCTGTCTGTCTGTCTGTCTGGTCTGGTCGGGTCGGGTCGGTCTGGTCTGGTCGGGTCGGTCTGGTCTGGTCTGGTCGGTCTGGTCTGGTCTGGTCTGGTCTGTCAAAACGTCTGTCTGTCAAAACGTCTGTCTGTCAAAACGTCTGTCTGTCAAAACGTCTGTCTGTCTGCCAAAACCTTTGGAACTGCCAAATTTAATCGGAAAAATTGCACGGGATGTGTTCTGTGCTTTGGTGTGTTTACTCCTTTGGTGGCTGTTTAGCTGGTGGGTAATCTGCTGCAAAACCAGCAAAATGCAAGAAATTCAAGAGGGGAGCGGAAGGAAAGCACTGACTTTTTAAAACGTGCCCAAATCAGACTCTGCGCGTAAACCCTAAAGTGCGTTCTTGAATGGTCGGAGTGGAGAGTGGGGGGGTGGGAAGCAGGGGAAGGAGCAAAGAGTGGAAGAAAGCAAGAACTTCCTCCCTCCCTTTGCGTCACGCATATCATGTATTTGTACGTTTTCCGTCTCCTGATTTTTTTAGGCATCAAACCAGTAGAAAAAGGGGGACCCCATTTCGTCCCTATCCAAACTCCATGGCGTGCCTGACCTTGGACTCAAAGTGTCTGTGAATTCACAGCCAGCTACCACCTAAATTTTGATGTTTTAGCATTGTTTTCTGTGTTCCAGCCATAAATTTCTTGATGAAACATGATGAAACCATCAATTTCAGCTTTTGTCACCATGTTTTTCCCCTTGAATTTTGATCTTTAGCATCCTTCCCTACATGTTCCCTATGTATAACCTTTCCTAACCTTCAACCGCCCCATATCTGCCCCGCAACGCCGTAGACGCCCAACAGGTCGACCCAGGCCCAGGGCTCCACATCTCCAGCGGCCGAGGCCCACTGCGTCGAAGGAAGGCCGTCGGTCATGCGACTCACGTGCTCGGCGGCGAAGCGTTGCGACGAGGCCAGGACCGGTTTCAACTCCGCCAGGTTCACTCCTGGTGGAGACTTAGAGACTTGGAGATTTAGTATGAGGATTGAGAATATGGATAGATATCTCTATCACATTATATCACTATCTATAACTCCGACCCAAATCCGGCGGATCTTCCATTCTCTGGACATCCATGTTTTTTTTTGCAAGGAAGCTACGATTTTTTTAAGGTTTACTTCCAGATAATCTCAAGGTTTTTTTTGTGATAATTCCTTTTCGCACTGTTCTTCACCACTTTGGACGACTGTGAGCTGTGTTTTGCCAATTTAGGTCAAGTTTGCAGCTTGTCTTGACACAATTCTGCGGCCATTGAGAAAAATTGACTTGGTAGTTGGGATATGTTCGGGATAAACTGTGGAAATTATGCTGATACAACAGTGATCAAAACATGAGAAAAACATGGGGTTTATCATGGGTGTGTAGTGGGTGTGTGTTTGCCAAATTCTCAAAACTCATTCACGTGGGGTGATCAAATTATCGGTACATGCATTTGATTCTCAGACTGTCGGAAGCTGAGGAAAAGTTAACGATTTTGAAAACTGGCCGCGGGGCTGGGGACTAGCGATGAGCGGCAATTGCATATACACCAAAAAACATCTGGCCGAATTGAGGTGGTTCCTTTCAATTTGGTTCAAACTTTCCATTGATTAAGGGATCCTCCTACTCAAGAAAACACCTGAGCAGAATTCAGCCACATTCCCTGAGCAGAACTCCACTCCGCAGCTCTAAATCTTTGGGTATCACTAGATCATTAGATTTCATCACCAATGGGTTTTAAGTTTAATTTTTTTTATCAAATTTTACCCACCATTTTGCCACTATATAATTACTTTTGAATCCAACGTATTCCAAGCTTCGGTTCACGCTTCCGGTGGTGCTTTCCGTTGTGGCCTCCGTGGTGGCGACCGGTCCGGCGCTGGTGGTGGCGGTCGTGGTCGTGGGGGTCGTGGCGCCGTCGGGGTCATCGCCGTGGATGGTGAGCTCCCGGATGCTGCACGTCGTTCGGCAAAGCACCTGGCACCGCAACGGTGGCAACGGTGGCAACGGTGGCAACGGTAAGCACAGGCCGGATGAGATTCTTCAGATTCGATTCTTGATGTGTGTTTTGGGGGGGTGGTGTGGTGTGTGATGGGATGGGATGTTACAAATTCCATTTGTGTTCCGAAGTTCTGGAACTTCGATCTTATCTACTAACCCCTGCCAGACCCATGTGAAAACTCCCATGGAAAATCGCCAAGCCACCCGAACCCACTGCGTCAAGACAGGTGGGTCGAACTCGGTGCTCACAAAGCCGTTGGCTCCGTCAACGACGGCCCGATCCGTCCACTTGATGCCATCAGGGGCACTCTGGAGCACCTGGCAGCAACGAAAGAGGGGGGTTCCTTGGATTTTTCCTGGTGTTTAGCAACTGTTTTATATAGATAATAAATGATAATAGTGCAGATAATACTGAATAATACTGTAAATCTTCATAAATTATATCATAAAGTGTTCCTGGGCCCACCCAATAGGTTCCTAGTTTTATGGACTTCACATCCATGTTGCAGCCGCCCATATCTTGTTATCCCAGGCACAAACTGCTGTGGCACATCACCAAAGAGCAGCACCACTCGCTTCACCGCATAGAGTCCCAGCAGATCCACCCACAGCCATTGATCGTTCAAGGGTACCGAAGCCCACTGCGACTCCAGGTCGCCGTCCACGGCTTTGTAGGCGTGTTCCGTGGCAGATCGGAAGGAGGAGGACAGCACGGGTTTTTGGAAAGCCTCGGGCACAGGTCCGTAAGGTGGAAGTCCCATGCTGCGGTAGAGAATGGTTTTTCTACTGTATAAGGACACCAAGGGTGGCACCACCTGTTTTGCTAGTTGTCGGATCTAATCCTAATCAGAGAACTGGTACACCACCATTTCCAAACATCCAAAATGCAATGCAGAAATGCAGCAAGATACAAGATTGGGTCCATAGAAAGGAGTTGTAGTCGATGGCCCTGGCACAGTTGTCACCGTCGTGGTCACAACGGTGGTTTCAGGCACCTCAGTCGTCGCAGTCGTCGCCGCGCTGGTGCTTGGTGCCTCAGTGGTTGCAACCGTTGCAGCCGTTGCCGTGGACGTCGTGGTGGCTTCGGTGGTCGGTTCCGTGGTGACGGTGGTGACGGGTGTCTCTGAGTCTTCAAACACCTGCGCGGAATCTGCAATAGAACGACCCGGCAGATGATTTTACCATGCTTTACCTCTGTCAGCTTCAAAGCCGGCGAATGCTAAACACTTTCTCTGGCAGTTTCACCAGCACATTCCCACCACAAATCATCATTTTTCAGATCTTCCAACCCTTCCTTCACTTAAATTCCATCCCAAAATCATCATTTCTCACTAGATCTTCTTCCCCTCAAAAAATGTCAACTTCAAACCTCTCCCCACCTGAAACTCCCAGAGCCGCAGATCGCCACTGCCCTGAGTCAGCACTCGCACCCAGCGCGCGAAGGTCGGCCGCGGCAGGTCCGAGCGCAGCAGCTCCGAAGAGCCCAGGACCACGGCCAAGTTGCTCCAGGCGTCGCTCACCGTGGCGCCCTGCAACACGTAACCTGCGATGGGAGGACAACGCGGTTGGGATATACAGAAAATGTGGAACATCTTGGAGAATCTTGGAGAATGATATGCCCTATTTTGACACAGAAAGGTCCACGTTGTTCAAGATCTCATTGTTCTGGTTGGTTTCGAGGCCAAGTTCAATTTGAAACCTCTTGACATACGATCTACCAAACAAGACTGCAGAACGAAAAGCATCTAACTTTGAAACACTCCAAAAATAACAACAAAACCTTGATCAAATCATCAAAATATCTCAAAATCCTCCCAGCCACTGGTGGGATAAAATTCGCCCCACAGCAGCACCACATGACTCAAGGCGTGCACCGTTCCGAGGTCCACGGTGATCCACGGGTTCTGCTCCGCCGCGGCGGGGCTCCAGCGCGTCACGAAGAGGCCGTCCACGGCGCGCGCCGCGGCGAAGTCGGCGGAGAGCTCAGAGGAGGCCACGGCCAGGCGGTACAGCGCCAAGTTCTCCTGGCACCAACCAACCAACCAACCAACCAACCCAACCAACCAACCAACCCAACCCCAGCAACGTTGCTGAGGGTTAGGGGTTTTTAGAAAAGGGTAAAATTAGTCAGATTTCCGATCATTGAATGGGTCCAACAACTCCAGTTGATGAGTTTTTGAAGTGGGGATGAGCCACCAATATTATCAACAGAAATAGGGGTCAACAATGATTATAGAGAGATCCCTGAAATTGAAACGATGCTGTCCGTATCTTGGCATAGGCGGTATCCATGTCAACTGTGAAGGACCAATCATTCAACCAGGTCAGTGCGGAAACTGGAAAGGTTTCCAATCATTCAACATGCTCGGGAAAAAGTAAACATCAACCATAGCAATGATCCTAGCTATGGATGGAAAGGATCGACAACAATTATATGAAATCCGCGGAATTGTTTCGGGCCATATCGACAACCGTGTCATATCCAACCATGAATATGGATGAAAAGCATCGACTACCGTGAACAACCATACCAATAACAACAGCTGCCAAGTTGGGAAAAGTGAAGGATATATCAGTTGGGGAGAGATAGGGGATCCAGCAATGCCTTAAAATTGACTCAATTGGTGAGGGTCACCAGGGTAAACGGATCAAAGACTGGACTCAAAGACTCGGTTTCGGGACGGCCCAGCCCGAAGGCAAGCTTCGTTGACATATCCGCAGGATCTATCCCCATCTTATTCCAAGATTGCAACCTCTCATAAGGTGTACTGCCAAATTGTCCAAAATTCGGCCAGATTTTTGGTTCCAAGGATCAAACGGAGACTCAGCCCATTTTTCATCCATTTTTCATCCATTTTGCCACCATTTTCCCAAGAAAAAACCCATCCGCTCCTCGGGTGCTTCGGTGGACACGGTGCTGCTTGCTGCGCTGGTGCTGACGGTGTAGCCGTTGCCGTTCTGCATGGAGGCGGACCAATAGAGCGCCCAGGCCCAGGTGAGACCATCGTCCATGTGCTCGGGAAGCATGGCGTTCAACCTGCGGAACGTCTGTTGGTAGAAAAAAAACTGGGGAAAAACGGGAAAACCATCGTTTTTTCCGATGAAAATCATTGGATTTCCCTATTGACATATATGTTTACATTTACATCGTCATTTGGGAGGAGACACCCCATTTTCAGGGACCCATTTGTTAAAGGAAGAGAATCAACAGAGTTTGGGAGAGGTTTCAGCAACGAAACGTGCTAATTTCTGCGACAAGAGCCAAAGTTTCCCTCTAGAAATCTAACCAAATTTGCTGAAAGACTTCCCATAGAAATTCCCATAGAAAATGATGGATGGTTTTCCTGTGCATGGTGGTGTGCCGAAGTTGCTTTGCCACTTAAAACAACGGTCCCATTGGTTCGACTGTGAGGATCCTCCCAAAATCCTCTTGGAACCCACGGCAGTTTCACAGCCAGGAAAAAACGGTACATTTCTTGTCCTATCTTTGGGGGATCGGTTCGTTCCTCCTTGATATGACTATGGGTGATCATCATAAATCACCAGATAGAGATCGGTTTTCCATGTTTTTCCAATAATTTTGGAACCCTTTAACATTTAAAAGTGCCACATTACCTCCACTCCCAGCATGCCTGTTGTAAGCTTCCTCCGGCTCGATGATCGACAAGGTGCCCGTGAGCAGCAAGGAGGTCCAAGGATCCGTTGGGCTCAACGGCAAGCGCGACAGGATGCTGTCCCACTCCTGTCGATCCAATACACCACAGGACCGCATCGGGACGGCGGACGTAACATCTACGAAACGGGAAACAACACAGCATCCAAGCAAAGAAGCAAAGCGGGGAAACAAGGGAGACAAGGCATCGGGAAAGCGGACACAAAATCCAAGGAGAGACAAGAAGGGAGGAGAGGGAGACAAGGCTGCGGGAAGGCAGCCAGCTAATGAAACCAAAATGGAACCACTGTGGAACCATAATTTTTGCTGATTTTCTTGTGGAAAATCTTTGTGGATGTTCCATGAATTCGGCTCCTGGCGGCAGAACTCAGGCGTCCTGATCATCAGCAGGGCAGGGGTCACCGGAAGCATCTGGATGCCGTGAATGAAATCATATCGCCAGCCGAACCATGTGGCATAGTCCACCTTGTTTTGGAAGAAAATGCCTGACAGGTGAAAAGCTTCAAATGCTTCAACAGAAAAGCGACTACTGGATTTGTTTGCAGCTTCCACCATGGATTGGCAATGCACAAAATGCTCTACCCCAAAACCCCACCCTTTTTACCTGTCACGTGGTTGGTCGCAAAGTCCGCTGGATGGTGCGGGTTGTCATCCTTCATGAGGAAGAATTCCCGGATGGTCATGGCACACAATGTCAGCATTGTGGTGCCCAACTCTCGCAAAGGTTCCCTGTCCAAAACCATACCCCACAAGTGAATGCCGTACCTCGGAAACAAAAAGAAAGCGGCGCAAAATGTGCGCCACTTCCAACAGATTCTCCACAAACCTGTAACTTCCTCCATCACCCATCTGGGACGTTCTGCCAATCCAAAAGTTGGGATTGTTTGACTTTGAAGCCCATTGAAATGTACAGTATGTAAAATGGCCACCATATAACCATCATATAACCACCCTATCATCTCTATGATCCAAGGATCCAAAAAAAGGTTTCCCCAAACAGCGACGGCTTGTCACTGAATCTACGGTTTGTGACCAAGGCTGGTTCTCAACCGAGAATTCATGGGTCATATGAGTCATATACCTCTTATTTCCTGTTTCAGTTGAAATCCACTGCTATGTCCACAGTCTTTTGACAATTTGAACAAGGTAATCCACAACAAAATCCATCCATATCCATCTCCACCTGTTGGGTTCCCAATTTTCCCAGCTTTTCCGTTGCGCCGTGCCGGGCTGCAGCAGATTCAGCTCTTCCGAGGTCGACTCCTGGTCCTTGCCATCGGCCGAGGGGATCACACCACGGCTCCAGCTGTGGAGATCGAACCAGTCGAAGGAACGAAACTGCGGGAAGTGGCTGTCCTTCCGCGACCCGGGAAAAAACATGAAAAAAACATGACAAAACATGGGAAAATGATGGGGAAATGATGGGATCTGATGGATGGTTCCTTTTTTCTGAGGCAAATCAACTCACAGTGATGGTACTTCAGGGGATGCCAAACAGGATATCACACGATAGGATGATGGCCCCGGTCCTACATGTGCCGGGCTCATCTTAAAATTGAGCCCCGAGAAATCTGTGAAGCAAAGTGAACACTTCATAGAAAATGATCAAAAAGAATTTATCAAAAAAGAAACCAACTTAGAACCACATGGGTTTGTCTGAAAAACAAAGTAACCAAGAATCCAGTGAGAAATTTAATCATCATATTCCGAACAAAAGTTGTCTTTCCGATTGTCAGACATATTCATTAAACCTCACATCACTCTACATCATTTCACTGGTGCTGTGCCCATGGGGATACTCCCCTGACCGCGTCCTGCACACTGGGATTGGCGGTGTCGCGGATCAAGGTATCCACGAAGGAAACGAAATCGGTGTTGAGGCCGAACTCCGGCTTCAACTTCACCAAGACCGCAGCAGAGACCACATAGTAACCTAGTGCTTAAGATTTAACCCCAAAAAGAAGCTGCAGACCAAAAAAGTGGCCAAGTGTGCCAGCAGGGTGCTGTCAAACGAGCACAAATCCACATCACCCCATACCATCTCCATTTCCATCATCAACCCAGTGGCTGAAATGGTAGTGATGGTCGTTGTAGCAGGCGTTGCCAAAGTCCGCATTTCTGCATCCAACGTCCGTGAAGCCTTCACGACTCGCCACACCATGCCATGCCACGTCGTAGTACAAGCCCATGGGAGCACCGTTGCACTCAGGCACCGTGGGAGCATAAAGACATTGGAAGCCCCTGAAGGCGGGCTACCCTAGGTTTCAAACAAGGCCCAAAGGCCATGGGTCTGAGAATTGTATTGCAAAAATGTAACATCACTGAAGTTTGTCCCTGGGTCTGAAGTCTTGATTGCCAGTTTCACCCGCAGTGCCTCAGCTGTTGATCTATTTCAGGGGAAACCCATGAATGCTAACCGACTTATATAATTGATCTTGAACTGGTAGAATGGTAATGAGTGTTGATGAAGAAAAAATGAATTGGCAAAAATTATTGCAAAGGAGGTTGTGGCGATTTCCCAATAGTACCAGATTCTTTAGATTGCTGCTACGGTGCGTACATCGAAATATCATGTTGAAAATTTATCTTGAGGAACATGCTGGACCCCAAGCTTACTGGCATGTGAACCAGGGGCAAGTAGGACGTAGGATTGTAGGATTCTTTCGGCCCAAATCTTACAGAAACACATCTTTGCCATGAACCGTTGCAACCCGTTACAACCCCCAGCATCTGACATGGAAAAGCCCTGCGTCATGACTCATGACATCCACCCCATCCCGAGCTCCTGATCAAGAGATTAGCACAGGACTGGGTATGACTGTGTTCCCTGCCATAAAACTTCTCAAGCATCAGGCAGGTGTAGGCCACCTGCAGCTGCAACAGTTGAAATGTGAAAAGAACACAGTTTTTGAATGTCCTCTTTAAGTCGGGTTTCCCCACATTTCCGGTCACTATCAACACTTACAAACTGGTCATCATTTCATCCGTGGAAAACGATCCGAAACACCCGCCTTCTGAAATCCTTTGCCACTGAAGTAGTAGCTCCCTTTGAACATCGCCTGCCGCCACTGATCCGAATGCAAGAAGAACTGCAACGTGCCGTAGGCCTCCGGCAATACCCTCCGCTGTTTTCAATGGAAAATCCTCTGTAAATACAGATTTTAAAGGGAAAATCCTCTACAAATGGAGCATTCTAATGGGAAAATCCTCTATAAATGGAGCATTCTAATGGGAAAATCCTCTATAAATGGAAGTTTATGGCTGGGAAAATCAACAAGCCATAAATGAAGGATTTGCCACCTAGCCATGTTTGAATACCAAACAATGAGCATTCACATAACCCAGGTCGAAACCCACTCAAATTTTCAAATGCTTGGGGGGTTCTACCAAGCCCAAGAAATCTTGTGGAGGGTTGTGAGAAGATATGATGCTGTCAGGGAATGTTATGATGTAATACTATGTGATGTTGTGATGATGATTTCATGATGATTTTGCGGTGTGAGGGGAGGGGCATGATATGAGCCCGTGTTGATTCATTTTTTGTCAGTTCAAACCTCATATGTGTTGGGCATTTTCCCATATTTCCCCATTTTTCTGGGAATGCCCGATTTTTCTCACTGCTTCAATGACCATTTTCGATGCGCCGCGCCTTCGCTTTCAGGTCCTCGACTTTCGAGGCATCGGGGTCGGCCGGGAGGAATCCCAAGGAGCGCGTCTCGGAGACGTCGACCTGCATCTGCCACGAGTCTCCTGTAGCTGAAAAGAATGCCCGTTGGATCCCAGAAAAAATGGGGAGAAACAGAGAAACCTACATTTTTTGCGATAAAAAAAACGATGTAAATTGGATTTCTAGTGAGTTCCATTAGTTATGGACTACCCCGGGGATGATTCAACCATGGACCATGGTGGATGTTTAGTTGACATTCAGAAAAACATTCATAGCTGTTGGGATCTGTTGGGTTCTTCCAACCATTTGGATTGGTTCTCCTGGTCAACCCGCCGCCATCTCCAATGACTTCCTAATGGGGCTCATCCCATCCCATGCCCCTATGAAACAGCCTTGGAAAACCATGGTGGATGGGAATTTCGATGAATTTCGTAATTGGGACCATTTATATCCATTTATGTGGTATCTAATGTTAGGGAGATGGGAGACATTTCCCATTGGTCGTCCCCATCCCCATATCTTTTTCGGCCAACCGCACAACGGCGCCTGCCACGCCCTTCATCTCCCCCTTGGTGGGTGGAGCCAATGGTGTGAGTGACGTCACCACCTGCGAATGGACCCCGAAGGAGGAACAAAATCAGTAGGAATTCATCAACAATAACCATTATCATCCATAATTAACCATAATTAACCATAATTAACCATTATCATCCATAATTAACCATAATTAACCATAATTAACCATAATTAACCATAATTAACCATAATTAACCATAATTAACCATAATTAACCATAATTAACCATAATTAACCATAATTAACCATTAACCATATTCATCAACCGAAACTTCCAGGTTTGTCCAATTCTCGGCGCATTTTCAGTGCTTCAATGTGCTTCCAATGTGCTGCATAATGCTGAAACTTATACCCAAGCACACTTAAAGACTATTGGTAGGCGCCCTTTCGATGTCACCCCAAGTTGACAGCACCGAAATCCTCGTGACACCATCGTGAGACATGACGGCTCTGTGGCATCACCCGAGTAAAAAAAAAACATTATTGTTCACTTCCATGAGCCCTCATTATCCTCATTCAAATTCAAACAGAATCCCTTACTTCAAAATCGTCAAACATCACTTGCAGGTCAACACTAACTGGGTACCCATCTCCTCCCTTGGATCTAATCTCCACCTGCGCATTGCCCGCCAGGAGCTTTTCATGGTGAGCATAGGCAAAGTGCAAAATCTGCTTGGGGACAGCTGCGTGTTTCGTGAAGCTGTACCTGTGGCTCAAGCTAGTGGAGCAATCTGCCCATCTTGGAATCCTGTTGAACATGGGACTTGGGGTTGTCTCAAGATTGAAGATACCAACTGACCATTGTAATAGAAAAAAACAATGATGATCACCTACAAACCATTGGAACTGTCATCAGAAGTCAGACACACTGCCAAGTGATTTGATGAGTCCATCAGCCTCAACCTCAAGTTGCCAATCCACCAGTACAGCTGGCGCATGGAAATCCAGGATTTCCCGATCACCTGGTGCCTGCACCTCTGCCAAACGAATCCAGCCCTCAAAGGCCTTGGTCATCCTGCCATCGGGATGAAAATCCACGGACGCATCAGCGAAGTTTCCGGAGCCATCGATGGCGTAGACACGGAATTCCTCGGGTTTGTTGAAGCTGTGAGACAGGCCCCGTTCACAGTTGGGTAAATGATGAACGGTTAGCAAGGTAACTTCCAACCATGAGGCAAGTGCGAAATGGAAATTTCAAACATCGTTCCAACTGTGGAAGTGGAGGACAAGAAAAGACCAAATTTGCAATGTTTATACCCCTACATATTCCACTTCCAAAACAGTTGAAACCGTCTGCATTGAGAGCACCAAGTTTCCTTTCCACCATTGTTGAGGAGCCTCCAGATTCCGTTGCTGACCCGCTCAATGACTAGCAAGGCCCGATCAGATGAAATTTTTGGAGTGAATCCTGTGTAGAAACCAGACACATAACTCATGCCACTGTAGATGGGGAAAAGGATCTTCCGTTGAGTCCCACTGGGTCCGCGAACTTCTGCATGAATTCCAAACAAACCCTCTTTCACAATGATTTGCCCCTCTTGGCTGGCTGATTCCACTGCTGACAAACCAAATTCATTCACAAAGGGCGAGAAGTAGTACCGGATTTTTTCTGCACCGTTGGTTTCCGCATCACCATATTGCACCACTCGTGCTTCATTGCTGGCCCGCGACACCCTCATGTTGGGCGCCCCAGTGGAAGCATCGTAGCGCAACACGTAGGGCATTGGATGGATGGACCTTGGAATCGGATGGCATGAAAATTGCGAATCCAATGAACCAAATGATGCAGGAAATTTTGGTTTCCAATCTACAGGGATTTTTTGAAAATGTTGAAGTGTTGCACGGTGAAATTGTTGAGATATTCAAACACCCCAAAGTGATGTTCAAAACCAAACCCGATTTTTGCCCATACAACTCTCTGGGAATGTTCGTATGAACCAAGGCGCTGTAAACACGAAAGGCATCTGAGGAAAACTGAAAACAGTTTGCACATTTCCATGTGTTATGTAGAATCAAAAAAACACCACAATTGTAAAAAAAAACACACCATTTTTCAAGTCGAGCAACAGTTCGCGGCCTTCTTCCACTACCCAATTGGCCCAGAATTTGTTCGTGGCTTTCGCCCCATCCACCTCCGTACCGAACGGTGGCAGATGTCGAGTTCCCTGCGGCAATGGAAACACGGTTTCGTCTGGACGATCCACTGCCAACGGGTGCAACAACGATTCACCTGGCGTCAGAAAGAAATCAATTGAAATTCGTTCAAATCACCGGATTTCCACCGTTTTCTGGTTGCATCTTTGATACATGTTTTTCATTTGTGCGTTTTTTGCCCAAACAGGAAAACCTGAAATTCCAAGGTGCCTGCTGCAAAGGGGACTTGTAGAAACAAAGCGATGAACCAAACCGCCATGGCTTGCTACCTGAAGCTGCACAGCAGAGGTTCTCCGCTCGTTGTTGCTGATCCAAAATCCTCGCCGAACGCGTTAAATCAGTCCGGTTCCCCCGGAATGTCATGTGTAATGACCGGCAAAGTTGCATTTTATTATGACAAGCATTCCGTTGTACATGTTAATTTTGCTTTATTTTTCATTCGGCATTTGTGCATTGGGCAAAAATTTCACCATTGCCTGATACCAGTAGTGCCTCACACGGCGGTGGCAGAAGTTTCAACTAGACGACGGATGGCCCGAGAGCGTAGAAGAGCATGTTACTCTGTTGTCAGTAGTATCAAAGACATTGTAGGTGAAAGTTTCATTGAAGATGATGCAGATGATCAACAGAAAGGAGGTAGAAATGCTATGAGTGCTATGACAGATTCTAAGCAGAAGTAGACAAAGATAGACACAAAATTTGAGAGACCGACAGAGACAGACAGCAAAGAAACAAAACCATACACACACTTGCTCAGAAATATCTTATCGAATTACTGTTGTGGAGTGCATCGGGCGTGCACAAACAATCCCCTAAAGTCTGACAGGAAAATTGGATGACTTGGCGAGAAAACCAGTGTAGAAGAATTCTTTCTTTGTCCTTGCAAAAAAAAACTGTTCCATCTGACGAAGTCAGCAGTAAATCAGATTGCGAAAACCGTACAGTGGATTGAAACCTGTTTACACCGAAGTTCTGAGGAAGGTCATGATGCAGCTGAAAAACGACATGCCGGTTCTTGGCTTAGCCGGTTGCCATTGACGACAAAATGAAAATTGGCAAGTTGGAAAAAAGCAGGTACGTGACAAAGGCGTCCCTTCGTCATATCACAGCAAATGATGAAGCGTCTTCGTTGAGTGGTGACTTCATCATTGCTCACCACTCCCCTGCAAGTATAACTCAAAAGCGAAAACCACAAAAAACGACCATCATCGAAACAAAGGAAGTTTTACGTTTGTGCTCGTCCCTTTGTAAATTAAATTTCTTATTCAAACAAACGTAAAACTCAAAACGCCACGCAAATCGCTCGAAGGTCGGACATGTATTTAATATTTTTTTTTGTCTTTGCTTATCTTAATTGAGTCGGGGGTGAAACCGCACAAACACAAGTCAAGTGTCTGGTAACTGTTTCAGGTCAACAAGTCATGTCGCCTGTCACCCCCCCACAAGATAAGGGAGGGAAAACGAAGTTTGGGAGGGGATAGAAAAATCGAACGGGTCAAGTGCAACCCACCCTCCACACCCTAGCCAAAATTGCGCGGAACATAAAATCAAAATGTTCGCAACAGAGCAAAAGGTGAGAAGACTGACATCAATCTGATCTAAATAAAAAGTGAGAAGTAAAGATCATCCTTCAAACAACAGTGACAGATGTAAATGTCACAACATGATAATAAACAGAAGTTGTTTGGAAACTTCAGTTGGTTTCCAGCATTCAGCCAGGAGCATCTGCCGCCGCACAAGTGCGGAATGGAAAGGCGTCCAACTACGGAAGTTTCAGCAGATTTCACCGCACTTCCACACATCTTAAAATAGCTTGAACAATTTGAACATGTTTAACATCTTCAACTCTTCACAGGAGGATCAGCTATATTTGCTTGACTCTGAAAGCTGAGCTGAAAACACCGCCAGGCTCACCAACACCGTCAGTTGGTTTTCAGTTCATCAGATTTTTCTTTTTTTTGTTACAGGCGGTACGTTCGCAAGCTCACTACTCCCAACAAACAAAGGCCACAACAAGTTGAAGCCAAACGTTTGTGCTCGTCCCTTTGTAAATTAAATTTCTTATTCAAACAAACGTAAAACTCAAAACGCCACGCAAATCGCTCGAAGGTCGGACATGTATTTAATATTTCTTTTTGTCTTTGCTTATCTTAATTGAGTCGGGGGTGAAACCGCACAAACACAAGTCAAGTGTCTGGTAACTGTTTCAGGTCAACAAGTCATGTCGCCTGTCACCCCCGTTTTTTTTTCGACATGTAAAGAGCTTCACTTTCTTGTAACTTCCAAGAGCATTGTTTCAGGCAAGCATATATCGCCTGCAAGGTTTCCTCCCGAGATTGCCTCGTTGTCAACGAAGTACAGTGCTGAAGAATTGGAAAGTTCATTGCGGTAAAAATACCTCACAAGCAAAACTGCAACCAACTCAATTTGACAAATTTTCTGCTGAAGTCCAATAGATGTCCAGTGCTCCATCAGGACTGGTGGGATGGTTCCCCAGTGAATTGCATTAATGCCAAGTTGAGGGATTATGACAACTGCACCCCAGGTTCCATTCCCATTCTCGTACGCACCGTCCTTGTAAATCACTGCCGGACGATCGCTGCTCAGGAAGCGAATTTCTCGTGGTCGCATTCGGTTAATGATCCTGCATGTATCATTGCACAAGCGCGATATGAGCTCTGTATCTGATGAACCTGACTGCAAACTTGCAAACTGTCTGGCGGCAGGCTTCAAACAACGTCCAACCACAAAGCCACCAGCATAATTCAGCAATCCATGCATAGTCGCCGCCTCGGGTGCAGACACAGTACCCTTGGCAGCGTATGATTCAAGCATCTCCAAAATCCTCTGTATCCGACTTGGGCGGTTCGCCACTGTCACTTGTTTGTTCCAAAAGTTCTGCAAGTGGAATGCTACTCCCAACACCTGCATGGTGTCAGAAAAATCAACACTCTTTTTACCAGTCGTAGCATGCTTCCACCCAAGCAAATCCAAAAGGTGCTGCACCACGTTCGTAGTTGTTGCCGCCAAAGGTTCAAACTCAATAACAGGAAAATCATCATAAAATACAGTGGTAAGGAGGTGAAATTTTCGAACCATCAAAGTCCAGATACCGCGCGTGATCTTGTTGAATGCAAAAACGCTGGACGTGGCTCCAAAAGGCAGTGACTTCGATATAAAGAACTTCCATTCGCCAGATTCACTTCGCACTCCCAAAACGCTATGTCTAGCAGACTGAGGAGCAACACTGACCTGCTTGTACGCCTTGCTCAAGTCGATGCCCCTGCCCAGCAGCAAAGGCTTTCGGTCGTAGTCAGGGTGCCTTCGACCAGTGAGGTGGTCACCTGAAGAAAGTTCGATGTCGATATGTGGATCTCCGCAGAAAACACCCAAAGCAAACGCAAGAAAGCAACTGATTACGTCGGTGTCGTGCAGGTCAAGGTGCGACGATGTTCCAAAGGCCGCATTCACTCCCGACGTTTTGTAGTTGTCAATCACTCTAGGTTTAAGGTCTTCACCTTGCAAAAGAAGGAACCGTTGGGACATTGACCAGTCCGCACGCCCAAGCCTTTCTGTTATATCAGACTCCAAAAAGGGACCATCCAGAAAACCAGCAGATACCTCTTTCATAGTTTCTTCCATAAGCAGTTTTGCAAGCCCACGTTCTTCGTCAGTAAAGGCTTTGCCCATAAGGGCTTTTCGTCGCCACAAAGCACTGTGGTCCAACTGTTCGGTTGTCATTGTAGGTGGAGCCCATCGTTGTTTGTACAAAGCGCTTTCGTCTTCCCAGCCAGTCAGGGGAACTCCTTCGCGCATATAGCGCACAACCTCCATGTCTTCGAACCCAACCTGGGTCAGCAGTTTTTCCCAAAGTTCAATGCGTTTTGCCTTGGTCACCTCCGCCACGTTCTTGTCCATTTTGACTTTCGCCAGTTTCTCCGCAAGAGCCAGTCGCTTTGCAATTTCAACACATTCTCCCAGCTTGCTGATGCGGAACAGGGCAACATCTGCCATCGAGTGTGTTGCCACAAAGAAAATAGCTTTCTTCAAATCATCTGGTACACCCTTGTGCGTAAATGCAGGGTGCTGCAATTCTAAAGAACGCTTGAGGTGATCATGATGGTTGAAATAAATGCCAACCTTGTAGCTTTCAGCTGACCTCTCGCTGTCGTCTCCCCCGTGTCCCAAGCGAGCCAAAATTTTGTGTGGCAGTTGAGGGAGTACCGTAGTGACAATAATTTGGGAAAATTCAGGGATCAATTGGTCATGACCTTTGGCTTGAATGGATTGGGCCATTAAAGATTGCAGTCGAAAAAATTTTGAGTTATACTCCAGTGCATTAGCAGCGACCATTGTACTTGCACATTCAGCATATCGATCACAGAACATTGAAGGATATTGAGCTTCCGCTGCAGTAGAAAAAATCCACTTATCAAATCCACTGACAATTGTCCATGGCTCATGGTTGTGGGACTTGTCGCACATAATCCCCAGTGGCTCAAACTGTCGGGTCGACACCAGCAACTTGGTTGACTTGGCACGGTTTCCTCCGTGCATGCAAAAATCAAATTCCACGGGGTGAAAACAAAAATACCACTCAGCAAATTCAGGGCACTTGTGTTCGCGTGCATATTGCTTGACCAGTGTTGCAAGTACTGTCCATAACCACGATCGTAAAGGATTTTCCAGTGTAATGAATGCTCCAACACGAAAAAGTGCATGCAACAAGCGCACAGCATGTCTATAAACAGTATTTGCAGCGTCAACTCTCTGCTGGTTCAGAGTGCTCAAATTTGGCAGGCCAAGTGGATGCAACGCGTCACGGAGTGGCGCAGGTTGAGGTGCTCCTTGAGAGCGTAATGCATGTGCAACCGGCACTTCTCGTGCTCGGCTGCAAGTTCCACACATAAGCCCAAAATGGGCTCCTACCGGCTTCATCTGTTCGATCATGCCTTCAAGGAGTGAAATATTCTCATGCAATGACAAATCCAACTCAAAAATGTGCATCTTGTTTTTGAAACGATTTGCATGATAGTCAATCGGAAAAACTTGCCAGCCCATGCGTTGCATTGATGCAGAGAGCGCAGCTGAGCCCGCACAGATTTCCAAAAAGACTATTGGTTTGTCTGCATGAGGGTGAGAAATTGTATTGTCTTGTTTCGGCTCACCAAGTCAGTGCTTACACTCAATGTAAGGTCGCTTCTCTGTGCAACCCTTGTAGTAACATTGGTGAAGCCCCAAATGACAACGTGCTTTCTT